AGGGAAATCCGAAAAGGTTATCAGAGGTCAACGAAGAAGGAACCAACAGTCTGGCAACTGACTGAGTACAGACAGCTGACATTCTGAAAATAGTCAGTGGAGACAGGTTAGATGTGTAATGTTAAAATCTCCCAATTCTTTGAATCTTTGGGCTGAAGGAAGGACAATACTCGGTGTAAAAATGCTCAATCAACAATCCTTTATTTCCATACAATTTCCACACAATGAGCATAAACCATCCAGATGGGGAGAGATGCACGAAGAGGGTTACAGCAAATCTCAAAATGGTGGTGTGTTACACAGCTTCTTATACTCTCTACTGGCTCCCACCTCGTCGTAAAACCTAAACATTCACATTCTCTCTCTGTCAAGGCGCCTAAGTTATGACCTTGGCTCCCTGTCTTTCTGCCCCCTACAAAGGTGGGGACACATGGAATGTGGTCTGGAACATTTGTCTAACAAACTACAAAAATGGTCATGTTCTTTTAACCTAAAAATATAAGGGAAACTAAGCTACATACTTTGCACACAACCTAAACTAAGGGATATATTTATATTCTACAGCTGTTAACATAATTCAACTACCTTGACTATAGGTATAAGATAACATAGTTTAGAATAATAATCCCACAGTAATCAAGATTAGTTGACTAATGAATGAAAAAATGACTGATTTTAAAAATTTATTTTAAAAATTGATTGATTTTAAAAATTAAAAAAAAGAATGTATCTGGTGGCTGGTTGTCCCAAGATGTCAAATACTCAAGAGTATAAACAGATCAGGATGTTTCAAGATGTTACAAATGGCTGTTCACACTGATAGTGTAAGACAAATTGAGGAGGAAAAAAATCTGTACTTGAGAAATGCATTTTTAATTTCTTTAGGTTATTTGTTACTTTGTATATACATATATAAACTTTAATCAGTGTGTCCAGAAACTAAATAATGACAGTCAGTATTTATCATTTTGTTTTTAAGACATTTTATGTCATGATTAAGCCCCTGCTGTGTAAGAGTGGCTGAATTTAGGTCACTTGCTTTTTATCGCTGACACTGCACTCTGATAAACTGTCTCCCTTTCTGTCTTTGTATTGCAGCTGCTATACTCAGGATTGTGCTGGTAGGAAAAAGTGAAGAAAAAAAGAATGAACTTGGCAACTTCATCATTGATGGTCAAGGTTTTAATTCAGGAAAAAAAATGAACCACTGTGTGGCCTCCTGTGGAGAGTGGACAGGGAAGTCTTTAACAGTGGTAAAAACACCAAACCTTTTCAGTTTTACTGAGCAGACAGTAAGAAGACGAGTGAAAACGTGCACAGATCTGTGCTTTCCTGGACCAAATGTTCTGCTGCTGCTGGTGAACCCTTCTGACTTTAATGAAAATGACAAAGACAGACTTAATTTTATCCTGAACTTGTTTGGCCAAACTGTTTTTAGACACACAATGATTGTCATAACACAGAAGGAAAAACGGATATGTCCTGCTGTGAAAGAGCTGCTAAAAGATTGTGGAAGTAAATCGTACAACATGGTTAAGCGTGATCGTAAACAATTAATGGGAAGCATTGACAAAATTGTGCATGAGAACAAAGAACAGTTCCTCACCTTCACTGAAGACATCACAAGACCAGAGTGTGAACAGATGAAACTGCCTCTGAACCTGGTTCTGTGTGGGAGGAGAGGAGCAATGAAGACGTCAGCAGCCAAGGCCATTTTAGGTCAGACTGAGCTTCATTCAGTCTCCAACTCATCAGAGTGTGTTAAACATCAGGGAGAGGTGTGTGGACATTGGGTTTCCCTGGTGGAGCTGCCTGCCTTGTATGGAAAACCTCAGGAGGCAGTGATGGAGGAATCACTCAGGTGTATCTCCCTCTGTGATCCTGAGGGTGTCCATGCCTTCATCCTGGTCCTACCTGTGGCTCCCCTCACTGATGAAGACAAGGGAGAGTTAGAGACCATCCAGGACGCATTCAGCTCTCGAGTCAATGACTTCACCATGATTCTGTTCACTGTGGACTCAGATCCCACAGATCCAGCTGTTCTTAACTTTGTAAGACAAGACAAGGACATTCAGAAGCTCTGTCAACGTTATGGACAAAGGCCTGTTATTGTTAACATCAAGGATAAAGAGCAGATCCCCAAGTTGTTGGACACTGTGGAGCAGATGAGATGTACAAACAAACCATGCTGCTACACAGCTGTAACATTTGCTCGAGCCCAGATTGATCTGATAACTAAAAATATGGTCACTCGTAAGTAATTGAATGTTTTTATTTAAAATCATTAATCATGTTCGACATTATATTATTACATCTACTTTATAAACTGTTCACATTTAAAGAAAATCATGTGTTTACAGGTGATGAAGAGAAGCAGAACACGGAGCCTCTCAGGATTGTGCTGATAGGAAAGACCGGCAACGGAAAGAGCTCATCAGGAAACACCATTCTAGGAAGGGAAGTGTTTAAAGAAATGCCAAGTCAAATATCAGTCACCAAACAGTGTCAGAAAGCACAGGGCGAGGTGGACGGCCATCCGGTTGTTGTGGTCGACACTCCTGGTCTGTTTGACACAACTCTGTCACACGAAGAAGTTCATGAGGAGATGGTGAGATGTGTCAGTCTTCTGGCTCCAGGACCACACGTCTTCCTGCTGGTGTTACAGATTGGTCGTCTCACAGCAGAGGAGAAGGAGACATTAAAACTTATAAAGGAAGGTTTTGGGCCGAATTCAGAAAAGTTCACCATCATTCTTTTCACTGAGGGAAATAAACTAAAAAAAATGTCCATTAAAGATTATATTGAAAG